GGTGGGGGGGGGGGCAGAACCCTGACGCCCCCCCTCAGCCCCATCTGCTTAGTCCTGGACGAGCTGGTGGGAATTCAGCGAAGGCCCTGACAGCCCCGCGTCTCTGGCAGGCTCACCCGAGAACTGCAGCTCTGCCTGTCGCTGTCGTGTGAAAAGAAGGCAGACAGGCCTGCACCCTTCCAGGTGCTCTGGAGACAGGGAGGGAGCAGCAGTTCCCTGGGCCACGCGTGGCTGTGGCCGTGTCTCGTGCTGTGGCAGTGGTGGGCTCTGTGTCATCCAGGTTGGGCACAGACACTGCTGGGCTGTCCCTGCTTGCCAGGCCGGGACCCCTGGCTGGGCCGGGCCGGGCCGTCTCCACGGGGCACGGATCTCTCCCCGAGAGCGGTTATCTCCCTGTGCCCCGTGGGCCGGGCCGGCACAGCAGCCAGGAAGGGGGCAGCCAGAGCACCTGTGTGTATTTTAACTTCCAGCCTCCGAGTACTTATCCCCGGGAAGGCGCATGAATCATGGGGCGAGGCAGGTGGGGCCTGGTGGCCGCCTGCCCTGCAGATTCCACCCCCTCCCCCTGCCGCAGGCTACACCCTGCTCTCCTGCCCACTGGAAGGAGCTGGAGGCTCTGGACCACCCCAGGGCAGGGAGGGTGGTGCCGGGAGACTGGGGAGCCCGCCTTCAGCTTGTCTTCGCCTGCCCCTGAGTTCCAGGGCTGCGAGGGGCCCTGAGCCCCTCGGACACTGGCTGGTCTGCACCTCAGGTGTCCCTGATGGGCTCCCAGGCCCCTGTGTAGGCCTCACAGATGGCACAGCCTTATTTTACAGATGAGCAAACTGAGGCCCAGTGAGCAGGAGGCCAAGGGGCCCTCTGTGGGGTCTCATTAGTGGGCAGCAGGAACCAGGCCTGGCCCCGGCCGGTAGCTCAGTTGGTTAGTGTCACCCCGATATGCCTTCTGAGGGCTTGCTTCCCTCCAGGGGGCCTCTGAGCAGTCAAGCAGCCGCAGCAGGTCCCCTGGGTGCCCGAGCCCACTCAGTGTGCCCCTCCCCTGTGCGTGCCCCCTCCCTAAGCCTCCCCCAGCCTCCCCCACCC